AATTATGAAGGTTAAATTGATTGCCACTTTTTTACGTTCTGATTTTAGGAAAACGTTTAACTGCAAATATTGCAGAAGCACATTACAAGAAGACGCTACTTGCCGTATCCTTTCAGGTTAATATATACTTACTAGCATCTTTAAATCCTAAACTCAAATGCGCTTCCTTACGAAATTAAACCACACATTGCTTTACAGAATGAAATGGTATAAATGATTAAGAAACTGGAAAAAATTAGAAAAAAGAAATAATTATGAACACAAGTAACGCAGTCTCAAGTTTACAGGAAAGTGAGTGATTGAGTGAAAGCCATTTGTCTCCCTCCAATAACTCTTCAATTGCTTCGCAATCTTCGAGTTAAAAACGACTCACTTTAGATATTTTGGTTCAGTGACCATGCACAATTAGGATTGGAGACGAGGCTCCAGAGACTCCTTCATAGCCTCGTCTGMAATTCTTTGARCATAGTTACCCAACCAAAATATCTAGACCGTGATATTAAATGGCATGCACCCCTTCATTTAAACATCAATTTATCGATTCCACATTAAACTGACATGTTTTGATGGTTAATGTTTCAGAAAAAAGTGTAGTGCATGTGATAAGCTTACAAAGTTTAACTACTAAGACCTGGACAAGACATCAGGCTGTGTCTTTTTATCTTAGAGGTAAAATATAAGAAACTTCATCCTTGCTCCTTAATTCCGCACTCGTTTTTGGATTCTCTCTTTCCTTTTTTTCATTGTTTTATCTTTTTCTTTATCTGTGAACTTTAATAAAATATAGATTTTGTTTCTCAAAGTCAAGTATGATTCCCCTTCTTATAAAAGCACGAAGACGAGAAAACAATAACGTCCAAATGCTTTGTATGTCCTTGCGTGTTATAAAAAAATGTAATATAGTCCCCTTGATAAGCTATCACTTATAGTAGCTGTTGGGGCAAATGCAGAAATGAAGAAAGAAATGTTGATTGTATATAGGCATACAATGACAGTGTCAAAATATCAATGTTTCGCCAATGTTTGCAGACGAACTTACTAAAGAAGTGCAGTTGGGAGATCTTTATCGKTTTACATTGTTTCATTTTTTGGAAACTGGTGAATGTAGTGAATTGACATCTAGCACACCAGTATTTGAGGTATGTCAATTAACAATAATCAAGTAAAGAAATATCGATAAAGATTGGACTTCACAGTGTGTTACGAGTTAAAATTATAATGGAAATTTGGACTAAATCATCCCTCCTTTCAAAAGTTGACATTCAAGTAGTCTAGTTTATACTCATTATATATATAGACTATATATATATTTGCTTCCCTTTTTTATTTATAGTCAACCTTGCTAAGACATTTTGTCTTTTTTTTCCTCAAATTTTCGCCAAATCATTAGTCTCCTTCGCAGACTACCCTTTTGTCGGGCGTACTGCCTGTCCCTCCAAAAAGAAGAAGCTCTTCTTTTGGGAGGGACAGGAAGTGAAATCATTATCACTCTSTGAGTCCTCTGGCGACCATAATGCTTAGCTTTGTAAAGGCCTACGTGCATCCAGGAACGTTTGTTTTATTTAAAATTTCCAAGTGATCTATTTTCCAAGGTGAATCATGCATGATTCCAAATCAAAGATAGCGAATTTTCGTATGCAAGAAAAACGCAGAAAAGCTTGGTTCTTGGAATTGATAGTATGAATGTCATTATGCATTTTGCTTTGATGTCGACATGTGGTCAATGACAATTTGGTTTATAACCTTACAGTCTTTTGTTCTTCTTTCACTAAAACAGGCAAACAGCATAGAAAAGGTAAAAACGAATTCGACGTTGAGCTATTCGTGATTCGGAGTAATCAAGTCAAGTTTTTGATTCTTTTATTGATTTTTTCATAGATAAAATATCCTCTGGTCATGCTAAAAAAGATCTCAGTTTTCCCCGAGAGCGTTAGACTGCTTTTAGAAGGTAAGATCAGCAGGGCGCTTTCTTCATTTTCTATAACTAGCAGTCGGAAATTGGAGGCYGCTTCATTAATAAAAGTCATCAATAAATGGTTTACCTAAAATTTTGTGGGTTTCAGTTTATTTCTCCAATTTCAAAAGCTTCAATTATCATGGACGGCGGAACCGGAAACCCAATAATTTTAAAAATAGAATTGTCAATGTTTTATGTAATCAAAAATGAATAAACTACTAATGCGCCAATGGAAGTTTTTGACTTTAAACGGAGAGAAAAAAGGTTAATATAGGGGGAGGGGAGAAGGCTAAAATTCCGGATTATTAAAATTTCACAGTGCCCCCATCCTCCCCTCCCCCATCCAATACTTTTTGCTTTCGCCGTCCATGAAGTCATCCAGGCCAATTTTCCAATTTGCGTCATATCGCCAATGACTTTTGCGCAAAGGATTTGAGCGAAGTTTTGATCTACAGAGTCGGTTCCACGAAGGAGTTGAAATTGCAAAGAAACCTTATTTTCCATTTTCTCAGTACAAGACACCCGTTAACTTAATACTTTTATCAACACCATGAAGCATTTTGATACGGGGAAAATGACGTCATCATGTGAGAAGACCATTGATAATAATCAACCCATTCCGATCAATTTAAGTAAGTTATTTGTTCTTTTTTCCCCAGATAGAAGAGATTCTCCATGGAGTTTTGCTGCAAGCATGGCCTATTGCTTTGGAGGTATCTCGGGCGAAAAAATATACACCTTCTTGCGAAAACGTTGTCATAAAAAATAGGAAATTTGTATTTAGTAAAAAGGAATCAATTAAAAAGACAAAAGAARATCACTGAGGCTGAACGCTTCCTTTTGTCTTGCTTTACTTTATTCCTTTTTACTAAATTCAAATGTTCTATTTTCTATATGACAACGTTTCTGCAAGTAGATGTATATTTAAAATGGTGATAAGAAAGATACATAATTGATGGAATAAGGATTCTAAGTTCTACGTCGATTTTGTATGCTGGTGCAAAAGGCGCGCCACCTTCGTGTGATGACCGTTCTGCACTACAGTCATGAGATTTTTGTTTTGACTATTAATGTGCATACAATGCCTAGCATGCGCATGCGCTGGGCCCTTGMACTTTTATAGTTACCCAAGATATCTCTCTAAAACCTATTTCCTTTGTACAAATACTACTTTTATTATTTTTGCCTATCGGTTCAAAGCATCTGGAAAATCTGGATGCAGTGTCAAATGGCTCACATGATAAAGAAGTACTTTTTAAAAGCAATGTATATCTAATCAATTCGAATCTACGCCAAAATGTGTCTCCAYATAAGCAATAGTCTCCTTCACGGTTACCTGCGCCATCTTTGCATCGAAGCGAGACGACCGTTGAGTGTGAAATGATAGAAACCTGTGAATAATAGTAGGTGTAGGTGTATCATTGCACACTCAACGGTCGTCTCACTTCGAAGCAAAGGCACGGATACCTTTCAAAATGGCGCAGGGAACCGTGAAGAAGACTATTTTTAAGTTTGGTGCATAATAGGACCCATTTTCCGTTTTCCAATAAACAGCGTCGATAGTCCATCCAAACTCATTTCTCCAGCTAAAAATGAGTCTGCTCCTAAGCTTGGTTGTACRCGGAACAAGTAGTAATTCATTGGTTAACAGGCTAGACATACTGGCATTGGGACAAGACTCGCTACCTATAGAAAGACTTATGGTGTATGCGGCATCGTTTGCTCCAAGAAAAKTTATATATTCGACATCGTCTGATCTTTTTGCCTCTGTATCACGTGACCCCTCGGGTACAGGAACTTTTCTCATTAATGGTAGGTCAAGGGTGTATTTAATACATATTAAAGTACAGGGGCGGATTCAGGGGGAAAAAGGGGAATCACCCACCTCTTTTTCTCACTTAAAAGTCCGGTGCTCTACATTTTTTACTCGTGATATTAAAATAATTTTCCTCTTTCTAATTTTAACAAAAACGATAATGAAAAAATTCAAAATAAACTAAGATATTTAATTTTTTTGAATTCACAAAACAAAAAGGTATTACCCCATTTATTAGTCAAATAAAATCCCATACTCTTTCAAAGTCTTTGTCTATCAAGGAAGGGGCTTCCTGAACCCCTTGAACCAYCCCCAGGGACACGCCCCTCATACTGACAAGAGTTACATTTACAGCAGGGAGCCTGCTTCTAGCAAATGATGGAATATGCATCATACCCAATGTGAACACTCTAAAGAATGACAGTAAAGAAAGACTTAGGAGAGGTATGGAAACCATGAAGGTTTTACATATACTGTAACTAATGGAATAAAGTGCATGCCATTGATCCGTGAAATAATGCAAAAAAAGGTAGTAATACAAACATTTAAAGTGAAGTAATTTAACTAATGAAACAAAATCCGCCTGATTAATATAAAATGTGAAATACGCTCTATTAAAATATTGCATAACATAATAAGCACGCTTTGTTTTCTTAGTTTTAGAAACAAGATTGGAGGCCGTTGAAGTYCCTAAAAAGTACACCGAATACCCACARCATTTGAGCATACCGGTGAAGTCTTCTGTGTGGGCATTTAATGACGCGCAAAATATGGCAATGAAATCAAGTGTAGAATCATGGGATGATTCAACTCCGGTATGTCATTAATTAGTATGTTAGAATCCTATTTCTGCGTAGTTAATGGCTACACCAATTTCTATATTGCTTTAAGAGCTTTTTTTGGGCAAATTTAATAAATTTACGGAAGAAAAATTGAAAAATACTGACGAACTTTTAAGCTTTTTACAGTGTGTGCCCTGTTACCTTAAACAGGGCCAAAGCTAAAATGAGGCTYTCACGAGCTTAGTTAAAAGATCAGGAACCCGCATGATTTTTATTTCTACTTAATTTTTCATTAAAGAATCTAGGAGCAACAACCAAGGCACTTATCAAGTAAGTTCATTCCTAAAAATCTATGTTGCCAAAAAATCAATATTCGATATCCGCACTTATCACCAGGGATATACGCTTGGGATTTTATACCGAAATTTGTACAAATTGTCATGTATGCAGGCGCGTAGCGTGGGCTATTTGGCTAGTACGCACATATCAGGGACCGCGAGATCGAGGATATATAAAAGGGATCAATTTTATGTGAATTTTTCAGTAATTTTTTGTGAAAATTTTAATATTTCCACGCCACTTGTACGCACGTGCGTATATGCGTAAAGGACGCTACGCGACTRGTATATATTATCTAAGATCTTATCCTAATGGGCGTGTCAGCTTATGGCTATTAACAAGTAACTTGTGATAAACATGCCCCCTACTCTCCCCCTGGACCATCAAAAAGATCAAATTCATTGTTGGAACCTCGACAATCCGGCCACATGGAAAATTGGTCGTGTTGATAGTATAGCTGTTTTTACCGTGTATAAAAGTAAGAGAGTTTAATTCGACGAACCAAAGAAAACTGGTCGGTAAAACGGAGTTAATATTAGAGTTAAGCATGACGTTCACGGCAATAACGGCAAACGACAGAAAAGATCAAGTGACCTTCTTTTTGGGGTTTTCCGTTTACAGTTTCAACGCGAGATCGGAATATTTTGGAGCTGCCACAATCATGAAAGTCGCTCTTTCACATGACTACCAAAAGCACAAGGCCAGGCGGGAAATTCTTAGGTCATTGGTTCAGCTCTATGCCATTAGCCGTAAACGTACGCAGTAGGGCGGGGTTTCACTGTACTTATATATTCATTTTTGAATAACACTAATTTCTGTGTYTGATAGTCGATTCAGTCTGGTTGTTCATAATGTACTAAAAGACAACAAGGATGACGATAACACTACTGACTTGACTTTGATGCGCGCAATGGAAGATTATGATGAAGAAARGCTCTACTTTATTCCAGAACAGGAAATGAAGCAGGTATCAGACTTTATCCTTTGTTTGGCTGCATTACGCTAGGGTTCATACATGTGCAATGGGCCTCAATTTGCCCTAACAAGTCATTTGGCCCCACCTACTCTAAAGCTTAAACCTAAAAATTAGCTTGAAATGAAAAGAACGTTCCACATTATTTAGATTACGGGCCTTCATTTTAACGTCAAATAGAATTAAATCCTGGGAAGCAAGGTTGCCCGAGATAGCGGTCCTGTCATATTTGTGGACCCTCGTCGATTCTCAGTCGGGACGCCATGTGTGATTTCATTTTCTTTTCTCCTTTCTCTTGCTTCGAKGAATTTTTCGGAGCTTTTCAGTCTTTTCCTCTCTTGCGCTATTTCTATCTGCTGCGTTCYGCCATCGGGTCGACGCTGTAAATGTAAAAGAAGCTCCTATACGTCTATGTTAAGTGTATGTAAAATGTGTCTGTATGATGTCACCTCGACTTGAGAGCGATTACAGATCTTTTCTCGTGTTCTCCCAATCATCCCGCGCGGTTTATTTCCCTAGTAAACCGCTTCAATCTATCGTTTGCTCAAATAACTGGCTCCAATAGACTTTCTCCATTCTTGCTTTCCGTGAATTTCAGCCTTTACTARGTAATATTTAGACTACAACAACCACACGTCTCCACTTTATTGTCATTTCAGTTCCTTGAAATTGCTTCAACAAAGACTGTGACATTCGCTGATTCACCCCAAAAACTGATCCAAAGTTTCTATTTGGCTGGAAGACGAGCAAGAAACATGCAAGGAGACTTCCCTTTAGCCTCACTACAAACAATGTAATTATTTCGTTTTCTTGGATTTTCAATAATTGGCATAATAGCTTTCTACTAGCTAAGAGTGCAAACCGATCGAGTAAAAGTAGGAAAAGTATGAACCAAATAGCGATAAACTGTTGTGCAAAGTGTGTAGTCCAGAATCGGTGTAAAAGTTGAAAAAATTATCACACCGCGCCCTGATCAAGAAACTTGATCTTAGATTATCAAKTTTTCAAAATTCAATAAATTTCAATTCCGCAGTTTTTGACTATACAGTGATGATTATAGAGAAAAAACAACAAGGGAATTCGAATAATTCAGTAGTTGGATCAATAGATTTTCTGAAAATCTTCAAAGCACCATTCTTGCAGTTGCACMGCTACATGATACATTTTATTATCCAGTCTAAGCTTCTATGTTCCAATATCATGTTGAAATATGTGYMAYTTCATTTTTTGYATGTCTCTTTCAAACAGAACATCTCTGGCAGCTGCCCATGCAAAGTTAAGTCTGCGTGACCAGGTAAATAAATAGTATAATAACACACCCCTTGACCACACCCTAGCACACACCAGTTAGCCACTCCCGTTAGCCACACCCCTGCACACACCCCTTGACCACACCCCTGCACCCTTCAACTGACACAATTAGCTAATCAATTCTCAACATTGTGACTTTACTTTGATCTAAATCTAAGGTAACTGATGAGGATGTGGTTGTTGCAGTACAGTTGTTTGACAGTTCTCTGAAGACATCACATGGTAAGTGCATCATTCAGAGGTGTAACAGTACCGCCTGAAATCATTRAAGAATGAGACGCGTCTGTTTCGGGATTTAAACGCGTCCTGGACGCTAAAAGAACGGGGAAGGGGGCTCCGGGGTAATAKTACTRGAGTAAAAATTTGTGTTTGGGAATCTTCTAGGGTGCCAATTTGGAGTTTCCGGATWTTTCCATTTTCTTCAATCTCTTAGRGTGTCAGAAAAGAAGAGAAAGAAYGCATCGATTGATTTTCCTCTGCGCTTTTATGAGACTGAYTTGATTTTAACAATATTTGTTGTGCAATGTCTTAGGGGTTGAAAAACAATTAGCCACGCCCTTTTTTCAAGACTTCTGGGATCTTTTAYAGGTCTAGTCMCTACTCCCCCTGTCCTAGACCAGCCGCGGTGACAACAGATAACCACAGAACGAACAATATGTTATAYGTTGTTGCTCAATCTATGCATGAAGCCAAATACAGTACAGTGCTTGTTTGTTATTAGGGTATTCCTTATTAGGATTAAAGCAGGACTATTTAGATGCACAGTCTATACTATCTGTACAGGTAGGACATTGCTTGATTTCATCCAGTGGGAGACTGGGSAAAATCCTCTRATTAGATATTTACAAGATAGTACTTTTAAATGGGATCAGAAATAAAGAATTTATGGAGAACCTACAAAATTTCTATRACTTGGCCCCACTGCATTCAATTGTCAACGATGAGCTACAGCTCCTCAAAATACGCCAAAATTTCCAAGAAATGTCTGGAGTGGAATRTGTAGTGAATATGTGCAGAAAATAGTTCCAACATATATTTCTTGGGCATATTCAATGGAAGGCCCTATCTAGTTAATCTTGTTAACTATCTATTAAATTAATCACATCAAGCATTGAGATTTTTRCACAAAAAGATCTTTCTTTCTGTGTAAGTTATCTCAGAATTATCCAAGAATTTAGTCCCAGTTGACATTATAATTTTAAATTAAAAAGGGTTTTTGTGAGTGAACCTGCTGGTGTTAAGCACTCATTTGGACAAGCTGGGCCAGAGTAATAATTGTTAATGTGATGTGATATGCAAATTACTGTGCTTATKTTTTGTTAGTATGACCTAAAGATGAGAGAACTACAGAAAATGCTATATAGCTTTTGCTCCAACCATAATTTCAACAGCACCTTTTTAATGGACAGCTTGGTGGAYCATGAAGACTAATGTTTCAGGTGAATAGTTGTAAACTTGGATTCCATTATTTATTTTTTTGAATAGCCTTTGCCCTGGTTTAGAAGTTCAATATCTTCAATCTAAACTGCACTTTGTGCCAACAAAAACAGGAGCAAAGAGTGAAAAAACCATTGAGGAACCAGGGTATGTGCAGGCATCTGTGATGGAAGGAGCGAGATCAACAAACTTGGTTTGTTTTACTAGTGTTCCTATGGAAAAGCCTACAGCTCAGAAGATTASAGACTTTGAGTGCCACAGCCTTTGGACGACAAAACTAGTCAATTAAATCAAGAGATTGAAAAACAATACTCAATCACAGATAATTCTATCATATTATGTGCAATTCGATCAATCTCGAGCCTAGAGTCTTCACGACTAATGTCATCGGTATCATAGTTAATAGAGGACGATTCTCCCTCTATTAACTATGTCGGTATGCGGATGCCAGAAAGACTTTCACTGGATGGCAAAAGTGCTGGCTCTGGGTACAAGATTAAATCTGATTGGCACATGATAAGCCACTTACCAGGCTCCTTATTATTGATTTATCCATGGAAGCCATTGAAATCTCTTGCTTAGAGCCATTTTGTACTATGCATGCAATCCATAGTCCATATCACAAGCCCGCCATTTTGAATTGGTTTGCAATGTATCATGGGATATATATCTCCCTTTCTTCATCAAAACAAATCGCTAAAATCGTAAAAACACTACTTAGTTTCGATTTTTCCACATAGAACATGTTTGTTTTCATTTTTGCTTGATTTGGCTAGTAAATGGAAATTCTCGATTAACTGTACATATYTTGGAGGTTTTTCTTGCTGTATTTCCTTGCATGTTGATATTTGTTTGTTTTTTCTCTTCTGAGATTAACTACAATATCAATATTTCCCAATGTTTTTYRAAAACTGAGTCTRCGTAACAGAMAACTGGAGCACTGACRTCATTGCTCCCTTGTTTACTCATTTATCAATCCTAAAATGCATTGCGTGACAAGGCTTTCCGTGGGTTGCKATATGGACTATGCCCTATACACATTGTTCTTGTGCAAAAACAAAGCTAAAGAACAAAAATCTTGACTATCCAAAGACAACATGAATTACATTTTACTTATGTTTTTATTAATTTATAAATTCAAATATCTTTAAAATGCCAGAGTGGATATTTACATTAAATTATTTATCATTGTTAAGGCGGTTTCATTTCCTTTAACTTTTTTTCAAACACTTTTCCATGATGTGTAAATCCACGTTTTCCTTTATTAAATGAATTAGGACCTGATGAGGTTGGAGTGTCCCTGAAATATAGTCATAGAGTAGAACTAAGAAGTGTTAAGTGGACAGGCAGTCGAACTATTACTTGAGAAACCTGTATGTTTACAGTCTAGTCCCCAGGCATTCTTTTTTTCCATCTTTATATGATAATACAGAGTAACTCTCCCCAGGACTACCCTTCCCTGAGTAGGACGCCTGGGGACTAGGCTGGTATCTTTAATTTTTTTTCTAAAGTAGTTTTTTTGAGAAATGCAAAAACAAAAAGAAATAAATAGTAATAATAAAGAAAATGGGAATAAAAGTTGAATCGTCTACATAGAACAAAATAACCATTCACGACTTTCCATACTCAGGTTCAGGGACCATAAACAAAGCATTGAACCGAGGTATCAAGGTACAGTGAGCATAAAAGAAAAGATCTGTGATCAGGACGCCTTGGCTCAATGCTTTGTTCATGGTCACTGAAGCTGGGTATGGAAAGTCGTGAATACTAGAAATGAAATTCATCTCTGCCARCCAATGCTATAATCTCAATGCCTTTAAAAAAATTTTTTTTCTCTGTTGAATGCATAACATTTGTAAAAATGATATTAGACAGTTTATATATAAAGACTATTTTAACCTCAATGAGTTAGTTGTAGTAGATTATTTACCGGTAATTGTTTCATTAGTTTAACATACAATAAAGTACTACCTTCCAATGTTACGCATTCTCATCTTAGCTTCTGGTGGTATTTCTTCTTCCTCATCACTCTAACAAAGCAAAATAAAATGGTTACAAGTAATTACAAATACATTCCAGATATACAATCCATGTAGTTATATGGATAAAGGCTAAAATCCCTGTAGAATCAAAGTTTTAGAAAAGACAGTTGCTGTTTTATATTTACAGACTCTTGAGTAAGCCACTGGATATGCTAGTCTCCTTGCACCAGCTCACTCAAACAAAGCAAGTAGAGTCTCTTACGACTTCCATATATGGATGTCCATATACATGGATCTGATGTACATATGGAAGACTCATCATGTAATATATAAAATATGAGCGGGAGACCTTTATGGGCATTTAAAACTGTGAACTGCAAGCAAGCACTTTTATAGCCCATATTAGGTCAGACGTGAATATTTTATATTGCTTATCAAATTCCAACATAAGCTAAAGCATATTTCGAAAAAAACTTCAGGATAAAATATCATTTGTAAGAGAAAATCAAAGTTAAAGTTGTGTGCAGATCAGGAGAAATCTCATGAAAGAAAGACCCATCATGTCCCTATAGAAGATTTATTAATGATATATTCAATACAGTTCCTGCCGAACAAGAATAAGAGAAATCTGTTGCATAAATATCACAAAAGTTCAGGTTCACTCAAGCCAATTGATGGTTAGATTTAGGGAAAATATCGGGTTAGGCAATGCATAGCGCTGGTTCAAATCTTAAAGCAAGTCCTTAAAAAATTCAGTTTCAGTTTAAGTCTTTGAAAATTTTCCACATAATTGGGACATGAATAAATAAATAAATAAAGTCTTTTGTTTTGAGAGGGTAGCACRTAATAGTCCTCAGACTAATAAACTTGTGGCCCTCTATATATTCACTCACACTCACTACCTCAACATTCATTATTTTACCACGCAACACTCCTCACAGCTAGTTTTTGACTGAGGGAGGAAAACCAGCAGACCTGGAGAAAAACCCTCGGAGCAAGGAAGAGAACCAGCCTACAAACTCAAATCACATATAGTCCCGGACCGGGAATCGAACCAGGACCACAGCGGTGATAGACCGGCCTTTTAACCGCTCGGCCATCCTTGCTTCCCATGAGAACCAACTATGTGTACATCAGCACCCTGTACATTCTYGACAAAGCATTTCCTGCTTCAAGCTTGAAAAACTGGTTTTGAAACCATTTGTTTCTCTCTATTGCTGACTTCCTGGGCAAGAGGAGGAAATCACTCTTGCAGGCAAAGGTTAAATGGTTCTAACAAAAAAAAAACTCTCAAAAAATATTTATCAGTCTGATGCTTGGAGAGAGCTGCATTATTCTTGGGATTCAACCACATGATCAAGAACCCCTTGATAATTAAAGAACAAAGCTATCGGCGCCATGTTGGATGTTGACTGAACAAGCAAAGCTAATGAGGAATGCTTTGTTATTGTCATCCAATATGGCAGTGATGACGTAACGTGAAATAAACAGTTTATTAGTCTCATTATGRATCATACAAATCTCAATTAAAAACATGTCAAATGCATGCTGCATATGAATTTCATAGAATTTAAMATTATGCAAAAAATTGATAAGATAAAAAAAAAATTACCTCATCACCAAAAATGGCAGCCACACTTCCAGCTTTCTTTTGTACAATGGGCTCCTGCTTCTTTTTCTTTGCATCAGATGCCTACAAATCATATTAAATACAAAGTATATGAAGCACTTTATGTTAATTATGGCCTTTTTGAATTGGAGCAAAAGGAAGCCCAATYTTGACCTGCTTTGCCTAACATGTTTGACAATCTTGCCAAATACATGGAATTCAGCAAGATTGTCAAGTATAAATTTAAATAGTCTGCAGAACAGTCTAGCCCAAGCTCAATGGTAGTGTTAAATGTATGGACAAYATTTAGCAGTTACCCTCCTTTATTGGTCACTCATGAGTAAATCTCCATTAGCGTTGATTCTTAGAGGTTGCTTATTAGTGGTTTGATTGCGCAGTAAAATCAACACAAACACTGAGCTTGGGTTACCTGTGGCAAATCGTAAATATTCATAAGAAAAAATTACAATACTTACAAGTTTTATAGTTATTCCACTTCCACCTTTTGCGCCAAGAAGAGGTTTACCATCCAAAGGATCKGACTTCCTTTTCCCTGTCCAGCTAAAGGTCGTTTTGGCGGGCTTATTCTGTTGTTCATCTTTGATATTCTCTCCTTRCAAACATACAAAGCACTTCACAAGATGAGATTTTATGCTATTTTTTTCGAAAAGACACAAGCTAGCTTTTTCTGAAATTGGATAAAGTTGGTTTAAAACCTTCAAGTGTCGCTTTYTCTTCTTTTTTGGGCGATTCTTCTCTCGATAACATTTTCTGTACACAATCCGCCATCTTGGCTACATATTATGGTATATTTAGCACAGGAAGCCCAAACTCAGACGTCCGAGGCTAGTACGTCACACATTGTTCTGAATTTTGTGTTCCGTTAAAATTACTGCCTTGCAAACTGTACAGATAATAATGCCGAAAAGAAAGTTTATCATAGATTGTGATACAGGAGTTGACGATGCTGTTGCTCTGATTCTTGCCCTCAATCAAGACGACATCGACGTTGTTGCAATCACGTGTGTTGGAGGAAATRCTGGACTCGATCAGGTAGCAATCAACGTTATGAAAGTACTGGAAGTTTGTAAAAGGACTGATGTTCCAGTGTATAAAGGAGCTGGGAAACCTTTAATTAGTAAGTGAAATAGATTTATGCATTTCTTTTCTGAATATTTTTTTTAATTCATTAAGAATAATAATAGATATTGAATAAATGAAAAAAATCGAAAACATATAACTTAAACAGCCAAGAAAACTGCAACCATCAATATTATATATGGCAATATAATATTGTGCCTTCCTGGATACAAACTATTCTGACCAGTGGTCAGAAAATATAAACACAATTTGCGTATAAATGCAAGGGGTGGGCTGCCTGTGGCGAGATAGCAAATTATTAGATTGACTTGTTAATTTTTGTTAAAATGTACTCCCCTTAAAGCATAATGGATGTAACCTACACTWTGTCGACACAATGGTCTATACACTGAGTTCCTCTTGGTGATAATTAATAAACGGTCCCTTATTATAAACTGTATCCATGTATGGYAGAGCAGTTTTGTGTGTAAAAACTTAATTTTAAAAATCATTCACAATAATGAGCTTGGACTGCCTATAGAGAATGTGGGGATTAGTCATGGGCTTCCTGTCTTTTTGCTTTGAAATATGACCATTACAAAGGAAGCCCATAGGAGGAAAAACAGCTACCTACCGATAGGGAAGAGGCTAAGTAAATGTCTGCAGTGACGGCTATCTGGACATCTGATCGCTTGATCCTATGTTCCTAAGCCAAAATCCTTATCCCAAAATAACCTGATCCTCATCCCATTGACCTTGCTCCGAATCCATTCTGTATAGCCTTCAAGGTCACTGCTCGCGTAATTTTCTTAGTATAATTCAATCTTAATCTTGTTATCCAAATTATTAGACTTTCATAAGGAAGTGGGGGCCTCTCACTTTCATGGTAAAGATGGACTTGGTGATGCCAAAGACATACCAGAACCAGACATGTCCAAACTTCGACCAGAGCATGCAGTAGAYGTCATTATAAAGCTAGCAAAGGAAAACCCAGGGGAAATAACTYTAGTAGCRTTAGCTCCCCTCACCAATATAGCCCTAGCATGCCGCATGGACCCTAACTTTGCTAAGAATATCAAGAATGTGGTTATCATGGGAGGAAACTGTGAATCCAAAGGCAATGACAAAAGGGTGTGCTCAGAATTYAATTTCCACAGTGATGYGGAATCAGCATTGGTTTGCCTAAATGAGCTCCAGCATCCCGTTTCTATAGTAACATGGGAAACCTGTTTAAAGCATGGAATATCCTGGTCAAGGTATGATGAGTTAGCTGGCATTCCCTCTGAAAAATCCAGGTTTTTTGAGAAAATAACCCATGG